TGGCACCAATTATCATTTGAGGCCCAGCGGGTATATGTTTTTTTTATAATTGAAATTCATATTTTTTTAATAATTTAATTGTATAAATTACTTATGTATGGGTTTCGGGCTCCATATTTTGAGGATCGAAATACCAGTATAGATACTAAAACAAAAGTAATTCTAAGCTAAAATACTACACATTACTACGCTACAAGGCTCTAAATTTTACTACGCTAAAAGGGTCTACGTTTTACTACGCTAAAAAGGTCTAGATTTTACTACGCTAAAAAATAATCTAAACTAAACATAAACAACAAATAAATTTAATTGCAAATAAAACACAAAACGGCATGAAAGCACATATATATGAATGAGAATATTAACAGACAAATTTATTTGACAAATTTATATTTTTATATAAAACAGTAAAATTAAATCCGGATAAATTTAAGATGCTAATTTCGAAAATAAAACCACAAACCGAAATAGAACACATACAAATCAAATAATATGCATTATTATAAAAGTTTCAACTTAAAATAAATCGAAATACCTCGATTTAGAATTTTTGGAAAGCAAATAGATCGAAAATTTGACTCCGAAAGCGTGAATCAACAATAACAAGAAGCTCTACTCGAGTGTGGGACCTACGTTCTTCAAGTTTTATGTGCCGGGGGGACCCAAATTTTTTTTTTTTTTTAATGGCGGACAGTGGGGGGACCAATTTTTGGAGTGGGGATTAGAATAATGGTGAAGAAGAAGACGGGGGAAGAAGATGGAGGGTTTTTTACTGTCAGTGTATAACGCCACTATTTCTGGCGCTATATCACTCTGACAGTGTATAGCGCCAGAAATAGTGGCGCTATATATTAACAGTGTATAGCGCCAGAAATAGTGGCGCTATATATTAACGGTGCTGTTACCGTTAATATATAGCGCCACTATTTCTGGCGTTATATATATTATGGTTACCTTTTTTTTTATACCTATTTATGTGTTTTGAGTCCAAAATAGCAACATTTCTTTAGTTTTGTAGCTTAAAATGCAGTTAACATCAAACCTGTTGGGTCTTAATCAACGGAGAATTTTTCAGATTGTTGTCTCACCAGTATTACCTGCAGACAGCAGGATCTACACGGACTTCCTATCAAAAAAGGGGGATGTTGATTCTGCCTAATCAACGATTGGAGTACTGCTATCCAATTATTAAAAGTGATATAGGAATTTGGGAATGATACCCTCCCCATAAAAAATGATTGAATTTTTTCTCTATATATATTTCTTATCTGTGACGAGAAAATGGTCCGCGTGGAAGGCGAAATAAAATTTAATATTTATGGATACTTACAACAATCTCAAGTTAATATAGAATAATAACTTGATTCACATCACATATTCCTAAATGTTTGGTCCGCTTACGCATGGACACGATAATAAAATAAGAAAGGAAAAAAGAGATAAATAAAGCTTAAATCAAGTATTTCGCAATTTATTATAAAAAAAATTTATAGGCCATGATTGCAATTTTGTGCTATATCAAATAAATGTAACGTTCTAAGTCAAAAGATTTTCTGTTTCCCTTACTATTCCTAGACTCACTCTACAATAAAATATTTTTAAAAAAATTATGAAGAGAACAAATCGTTGTCACTTGTCAGCATTCCACCTTGCAGCCTTGTATCGTGTGCACAAAGTTAACAAAGAGAAGGAACAAATTAAGTGTCTCATAATCCAGTTAACAATTACTTTCTAATCATATATGACACCTAATAAGACCAATAAATTACTACTAGATACTATGGATACTTGCTAGTGGCTACTACTAGTGACACAATAATATTCCAGGATGTTGAACAAATCTTGACTAGTAATAATTCTACGAAATTTTATTGTTCTTTCTATCCAAAAGGAATTGTGGTGGTTAGAGCATGAGAATCTAAATTATCTAATTTTCGGAGTGAATTCAAATTCAAATGAGTCTTTACATGTTAATATATTATCACATTTTTTCTTATAATTATACAACAACAACAACAACAACAACTAAATGTTTGACATACAAATTGTAATAACGTCAAAAATTTGTAACATAGGGAGTACATAACACTTCTCCTTGTGTCGCTAGTTCAGAAAATATTCAAGGAGGGGATGACACCCTTAAAACTTTCTCGTGAAAAAATGAGCAAAGTTCTCTTCGATGGTTGTGATTGTCTAATTGCCTTTTAGAACTAACAAATACTAGGTTAAGCAAATGAACGGAAGACGTGTATTCTAATTATAAAGTTTTATCCCTTAATCATGTTAAGTGATGTGTATAAGTGCATTGTCGTTAGTTCAAAACACTTTGTATGAATTATATGAACTACCTAAATAAAAATTCTTGAACATCAAAAAATTAGTTTAGTCTATAGATATTCATGACCAAGAAAGTACCTGAATCTCTATAGATAAATCCCTATAGATAAGCCCATGGCCCTTAAATACCGAAGGTTTTCTTGGTTGATCTTGTAGTTCCTAGGGGGCGGAGACAATTTAATTTGACGCTTATAGTTAAATTTTGGGAAAAGTACAGAAATAGCCAATTTAAATACAAACTTACCAACCTCTAGCCCAAAATCAGAGACTTACTAAAAGTAGCCCAAAATTAGAGATACGTGTAAGGAAGGATTCTTCTATCCGAGAATCACGCTAAAGATCTTCCTTCCTTCCCTGTTTTTTCAAGCGTATCAATTTAACAGATCACGACATTCTCTACCTCTGTAAATCACGGCATTCTCTCTCAAAAAATTCTCAAAAGGAGCTCCAAATTTCACTCAAAATCGATCAATTTTACTATATACCTTCACAATTTCTGGGTAGATACAGCTTTTGCAATTTCTGTGTAGAAGGAACTACGAACTGCAATCAAAATCAATCAAGGAATTAGTGAGTTTTGACCTAATTTCAGCTACTTCAACGGCAAATTTACCAATTTTTATTCAGTATGGTGGCCGATGGAATGTTGACAACAGCTTTGTAGATTATAATGCAGATGCTGTAATAGTTACTCCAAATATAAGTTTTGAAGATTTTGTAGACGTGATTTGGAAACAACTTATGATAGATACTTCATTGAATGATATTGAAATCAAATACACTGTCCAAAACGGTTCTACGCCAATAGTGATACACAATAGTATGGGTGTATGTGTATATCTTGAGCTGAAAAAAAGCTCAAAATTTACAATGTATCCCCTTTGTATAATATCGAGTGAAAAGGATATGGACATGATCTGTTACAATTCCAATTCTGCTGTGATTTTCTCAGAATGTGCACAAAGCTCAGTTGTAGAGGAGAGATACAATGGCGATACAATTAAGATGATCGAGTTTGGGGATGGAGAAGACTGGAATGATACAGAATCTGATGAAAATACAATAATAACTGACCCTCAACACATAGATGTAGAAGAAGGTCAAATTTATAAAGACAAGGCAACGATAATCAAAGTCATGAGGCACTTGGCAGTAAAGGAAAAATTTCAGTTTAAGGTGCATAGATCAAGTGAAAGCAGGTATCAAAATATTTATTGTATAATTATGTATCTCAATGTATATCGTAGTTGATGTTAGAAGCATAATTATGCAGAAAATAAGTTTTTGCTTGTAAGTATGTGGATGTACACTTTTAAGTTGTGGTTGTCACCGTCTAGTATTGCATAGTCGTTGTATATTTTCATCTAGTATTGTTGATGGCTGTGTGTATCACTATATATCATTGTATTTCATGTCGCTCTGTTTATTGATGGAAAAGTTTATATCCTAGTCGTAGGTACTGCCTAGTATGCATCAACAACAACTGTGATTGGTATTTTAAGTCTTCAAGCCTGAAAAAAGCAAACGTTTTCAAGGTCAGAAATTTCAGCAAAGTGCACTCATGCCCCCTGAAAGACAGATCTTACGCACAACGTCAAGCTACTGCAAAACTCATCGGCAGTCTTCTGATAGACAAGTATAAAGACCCAAAAACAACATACACTCATAATGACATAATTGGAGACATGAACAAGCAGTATGGTCTTCAGATGACATATATGCAAGCATGGAGATCGAAAGAATATGCAGTTCAAGTACTGAGAGGGAACCCGAGCGAATCATATGAAAAGTTGTCAAGCTACTTTTAATGCTAGTTCTTACAAATCCTATGTCGGTGGTAAGTTTGAAAAAAATAGAGGAAGACTTGTTCATGTATGCTTTCGTTGCACTATATCCGTCTATAAAAGGATGGCAGTATTGCAAACCATTTGTTGTTATAGATGGAACCTTTCTTAAATCGGCATATAGAGGAACACTATTGATAGCATCAACACAAGATCCACCAGGTAATATCCTACCACTCGCATATGCCATAGTAGATTCAGAGAATAATGCTTCCTGGGAGTGGTTTTTTGCGATATTCAAGGATGCATTTAGGGAAAGGGAGGGAATATGCATAGTCTCGGGCAGGCATGAAGGCATTGAAAATGCAGCGGCAACATTGTATACACAAGTACCTCATTGTGTCTGCATATGGCATCTATGGAATAATGTAAAAACAAATTACAAAAAAAACCATTTGCTGCTCAAAGACATATTCTTTGCTATGGCCAAAGCATACACAGTTGAGAAGTTTGATTACCACATGGCAGAAGTAGAGAAAATTGATAAGAGGGTCAAAGATTACTTAATGAATGTTGGGTATGAAAGATGGTCCAGAGCACGTTCCACTGTCAACAGAACATTGACGATGACTTCAAACATTGCGGAGTCGATCAATGCAGCACTCAAGGCTGCTAGGGAACTCCCAGTACTGCCTTTGCTAGACTACATAAGGAAATTGATCGGATGATGGAATGTTACAAACCTAAAGAATGCAGTAGAGTCATTCACTGATCTTGGAAAAAAATATGATACAATGTTGATGGACAATCTTGAATTGTCACATCAGATGAAGGTATGACTGGAATCTGTAGATACTTGCGCATAGAATATGTAATCACGCAGAATTTTACGTATCTGTTATATCTTGAACCCTTTGTGTGATTCTGTTAAACTAGTGTCCACCTGCACAAAAGCAAAGGCTTTCAATTTAATGTAGCATTTATGCCTACCCCACTCCTGAAATATTGGTTGGTTTGACATGATATTAAGCTATTTTTAATCTTGTATGCTCTCTAGTATATGTATTTTGAGGGCATCTGCTTTGTCACCACTAATGATAGTTGATAAATTTTGTAGGTGACCCCTACGACGAGTTACTTATATTCAGTACTTGACAAGGGTAAGCAAAGAATGGTGTTCCTAAAAGATCGAACTTGCACCTGTAGAAGGTTTCAGTTGGATGAGCTGCCATGTGCACATGCTTGGGCAGTATTAAAATACAAATACATTGATCACATTGAGTATTGCTCGGTGTACTACACCACGAAGTACCTATTGAAGACCTATGAAATTCCAATTTATCCGGTTCCTGATGAAAGCACATGGGAAATTCCTGCAAAAGTTCTAAATGAAAAAGTCTTGCCACCAGACATGACTAAAACAATAGGAAGGCCAAGGAAGGGGAGGTGCAAGCCAATATCTGAAAGGGAACGAAAAAGATCGATTTCATGTGGACAGTGTGGAGAAGAAGGTCACAACAGGAAAACTTGAAGAAATAATCCAAAGAGAGGATGAAATATGTCAAATTTAGAATTACTTGTTATTTTACTTTACTGAATATCATAGAGATTTAGAAGAATGCAATATATCAAGAACTATATCATTGTATAATGTCATTTGAATTTTAGATATAAATAAATATTTGACCTATCAATTAAAATCGTGTTGCAAGTTTATATTATACATCTGTTTGATTAAAAAGAAGTTGTATCAGCTATGTATCATATACGTATCGCTTGTGCATCACATTTGTATCATCTATGTATGGCTTGTGTATCACCTATGTATCTCTGTGTATAGGCTCTTACTCATGCCTGTATTTGTGTAGTAACAAAGCTAACTAAAGGAAAACAGTCGTAGCAGCTAGAAAACTATGCAAATAGTTTTAGAAATTTGCAAATAAGAGTGGCTTCATCAATACATATTTGAAAACTGTGTATCATATATGTATCATATCTGTATCATATGTGTATCATATATGTATTATATGTGTATCATATCTGTATCATGTATGTATCATGCGTGTATCTGCAAGAGATGTATCACAAACTACCGTATATTTTTCATATCTATAATTCACAATACAAAATCAAGGGAGAAAACACAAAAATAAAATAAACTGCAACAATCCAATATCGCACTGAAACTCATTAAACCTTTATAGCAGAGCAAACATCTCATTTGCCATACAATTCTTAAAAGTATTCCTAAAAATTCAAACACAAACAAATCTGATCCGTCTTACAACAATGACAAAATAACAGAACACAATACAAAAACAAAATTATAGAGTTCATCCTACAACAATGACAAAAGTAACTACTTCTTCTGCTTCCGCGACTTATTCTGTCGACCATTAATCTTATCATCACTTTGCGTGTTCAGTTCCATCTTCTTTCTAGCATAATCCCACAAGAGAGCACCAAATCTGCGCCGGTGTGCATAGGCATTGAATTTTTTAGGAGACGTCTTGCCCTCAATGAATACTCGGCAAATGATGTCGCAAATACACCGCAATCACTGCAAAAATAAAAAAACAACAACTATCAAACTGCAGAATCTAAAAACAAGACAGATTGTGTTGAAAGAAATTCATACGCTTCAACTTGTTGAGGCAACCCTTCGACCAGTTTTACATCAAAGGGGGTAATCAAATCTTTTGATTTGTAGACACCAGTGCGCCAATTGATATCTTTTTTATTAAATAGAAATGTGTGTGCACGAAAAAATGTGGCAGCAACACAGAATACTTGGCCATGGTCTTATGAACTTTGGCTAGCAGCTCCACCGCGCATAGAGTCATACACATAAATGCACCTATCCTTGAAGGACATCACAGCCATTATCCAATGCCATTGTTCTGCAACATTAATTGGCATTAAGCCATGCTCGACAGTGCGCCATGGAACATTGGCATCCAAGACAAACCCCTGAATATACTCTGCAATGACATGTTTCGGAGTGCACACATCACTGTCTCCATCTGTATCAATAAACGCCTACCACAACTCATTAATTTTTTCGTCGAAGTACCAATCTGTGGTGGTGAATGTTACAGGTAGGTCTTTGTCATACTTCCCCTTCTTCCTAGGATAATAGAACAAAACATCAATGTGCTGAAACAAAACATACCAAATAACTAATCACTAAAGGCTCGTAAGCTTTAAGCAGCTACGGTTTTTCAAACCAAAATCACATAAAACAAAGGAAAATGAATGCTCACTGCTATCTCTTGTGCCAGGAAATAGCAATTAAAAATCTGTTCTAACTTAAGAGGACTGAGTGTTCATGTGTACACTGGCTAAAATTAAAAAAAACACCGCAAAAGTTAATTCTTACATACCGAGTCATCCAAGGGCTGACCATTATATGCCAAAGTGTAAAACCATTTTTTGTTGTCAACATGAAATACGCCAAGACCATAAGCAGGATTGAGTTCACTAACATGCTTAGGGTAAATTTCATTCCTGGTAACATATATACATAAAAGAGTACAGTAATTTGATATAATGCTATAAGTGACAATATATTAAAATATAAAACTGAAAAAAACTCAGAAGTTGGAGACATACTTCTTTCTGGACTTCCCTTCTCTGACCCACGCAGCAAATACATTCAACAAGGAGTTGTTAATGCCAGTTCCGATTTTGCTTTGAAAAGGATGCTTAATAGCATAAATTTGCCTTTCTCCTTTCGCTGCAACAACACCAGTACTGGAACCTGAATCAAACACAGTAATGAACGGAGACTGCACGGCCTTTGCAGGACATCTCTTTCTTTTTTCCATTTGTGGCGATACTTCAGGACGTAATTCAGCATTGTACAGAACCATCTCCCCTGCCGCCTCATCAACACTTGCAGTCGCACAAACAGCACCAGTCCGAGATTCAGGAACCTTTTGTTTCTCAGATTCTTCCTCCGTCTCCCATGCCGCCGCATCAACACCTGCAGTCGCACAAACAGCACCAGTCCGGGATTCAGGAACCTTTTAGTTCTCAGATTCTTCCTCCGTCTCCCCTGCTGCTGCATCAACACTTGCAGTTGCACAAACTGCACCAGTCCGGGATTCAGGAACCTTTTGTTTCTCATATTCTTCCTCTGTTTCCCCTGCCGCTGCATCAACACTTGCAGTCGTACAAACAACACCAGTCTGGGATTCAGGAACCTTTTGTTTCTCAGATTCTTCCTCCGTCTCCCCTGTCGTTGCATCAACACTTGCAGTCGCACAAACAGCACCAGTCCGGGATTCAGGAACCTTTTGTTTCTCAAATTCTTCCTCCGTCTCCCCTGCCGCCGCATCTGCAATCTCACCAATAACGCCAGCATGGGCTACATCTGGTGTGAAAGTTACTTTGGCAACAAACATGTCAACTTTCACACCAGAAGGTCCTTCTATAGCATTGACACCTAACTGATCTACTAAACTAGTATCTCTTTGAGAATGTGAAACATCTTTGCCTTCACTTCCACCGACCTATTTTTTTTAAAAAGAATCGAATTATCAAAAACAACAAAGAAAAGAAAAGGGGAAAGTGCAGAATGCACAACTAAACACACCTGACAACCATCCATTTCAACATCTTCATTGCCACCAAACTCCATATTGCTCACAAAATCATTATTGTCTTGACGACCACCGGTGTCTTCCTCTGGATGTGCACCATATTTGACTTCGCTTGCACAAAGCTATTTTAAAAAAAAGGATATAGTAAGTTAACTAAAAAAATAAAAAGAAATGCACAATGGAAAAGAAACACATACCTTGGAATTTATCAACTCAAAGAGCTCCTTGAATTTATCAGAAACATAATCCATGAAGGAATTTAACTGCTTATGGAGCTACAAGATGAAACAAATAAGAAAGATAATAGACTTTAAATATACAATTTGAACAATACTTTCAAAAAATATATAAAAAAGACCAATACATACTTGCTTCACATCAGCTTTCAACTTCTGCAACTCACGGTCATAATCAACAGGTTGGACACCTGGCGCATTTTTTGGCGCCTTTTTTGGTGGGACAGGCTCCTTAATGTGTTTCGGGGGTGGCGTGACAAAATCATCGCTATCATCAATAGGAAGTTTTCACCAGTTACGTGATGTCAAATATTTCTGATACTCATCGGTAACTTCAACAGGCAAAGTAAATCTCCTTAGCTCTTCAATTGTCGGAGAGATATTTTTAAACTACAAAGGTAACCAAAAGTGATTCAGTCCTAGATGTATCAAAGATGTATAAAAACTGTATGTTTGATGTATCATAATGAATTACGGTGTATTATAAATGTATATACCATCAAGACATAAAAGATGGTACCTTATTCCCTGTGCTGTTGAAGAAACCAGTAGAGAAGTCCTCACGCGTTGGCCTGTTTGTCATTTCCCAATTCAATATGCGTGGTGTATGATCTCCAACGTGAATAACAAACTTTTGATCAACTACAGTGCAACATTCATAGAACCACACCTGTAGTACAAGAGGAAATCCACCAATCCTATAAAATTCAGACTTTCCCCTCAACCTGTCCCTCACCGACTTCATTAAAGCTCGAAACGCAATCTTACCCCATGGAAACGACACATACTCACCACTCTCGACAAGATGGAAATCACGTTTACTTATAAATGTCTTATGAGCCTGAGTGGACATTAGAAATGTGTTTATGAAATAAATGATTGCAATCTTAACTGCGTCTTCATCAGACTACCATTTCTTCTTCTCAAAACAATCAATAAGTGACTTCTTTGACACCACTTCAAAACCAGAAAAATAAGCATCCACCAACCTATTGGGTCCACTGAATTTACCCTCAACATGTTCATTACCACAACAGGTTAAACCACTTACAATACCAAATTCTCGAAGACCAAAACGTAAAACACATTCGTCATTCAATTTCACATAAAATTGATTACACTTATCTTGTACCAACTCCCTAAAAATTAAAGAACGAATAAGTTGTGCCTGGATAGCAACTCGAGGTAAATCAAGGAAATAGCCAAAACAGCTTTCCCTAAACATCCGAAGTTGGACATCAGTCATCTTTGACTGTAAAACCGATACAATGTCCACATTAGTGTATGATGACCAATGAGTATCAGGAAACGGCTCACCAACTGGAATATAGAGCTTCCAAGGCTACAAATACATGACACGAATTAAAAACAAACAAATACAAATTAAATCCAAATTTTAAAAGAAGAGTCAACAATAGAAAAAAGTATAATTGAAATTTTATATACCTTACAAACTTTGTCAGGAATTTCAACTTTTTCTGCCTTCTGAATCTTGTTTTTTTTTTGGCTTGACACCCAAATTCACTTCGTCCTCCACGACACGTTTTCTCTTACCTTGATCAGCATCCATTATAACCCTCTTGCTCTTCTTTTTCTCAGATTTTCCAATAATATCCTTTCGAGATTCTAACATATTAACACTGTCGGAACGATTTTGTCTTCGCATATATTGTTCAGCAATCGATTTGTCAACTAAAATCGGGGTTGAATGAGGAGATAAACTCATCGACCTAGTTTCTCTTCTCATGTTGCTCGATTTATCAATTGAAACCGACTTTGAATAAGGTGATGAACTCATCAAACGAGTTTGTCTTTTCATATTGCTCTGTTTCAAAATTGAAACTAGGTTCAATGACAAAATTTAAAAAAAAATACGAACAAAAGGTTACAGAAATTAGTGAAGAAATTAATACAAAAAACGACCAAAATTTACAAAATCAGTCGCAAAAGCCTAAAGAAAAACAACATCCATTCTACAAAAACACATGCAATCAGAAAAATATACAAAATAAGAGGTTTTCTACTCGAAATTACCTGGAAGCAGACGAAAATAACCGAAATTTATCTTGTTTTGTCGTCAATTTCAGCAATTTTGGTTGAATTTTGGTAAAAATCGCAGAAACAGAGAGAGAGAGAGAGAGAGAGAGAGAGAGAGAGAGAGAGAGAGAGAGAGAGAGAGATAGAGAGAGAGAAAGAGAGATAGAGAGAGAGAAAGAGAGAGAAAACTCGGTTTTCTATACGAAAAATAACGGATACAAAAAAACTAACATTAATTAAAACTATTTGGGCCAAAAATGACATTTGGGCCTTTATTAGTAGATATTTTGTTTTGGGCTATTTTTTGTTAGGAAAGTTTGTAGAGTGACATAGCTGGTAATTTCCTTTAAATTTTTTCATTGGTGTTAATATTAAGTGCATGAAAGTATTTTTTTTTATAACCGGTCATATCATTCGTCAAAGTTATTGTCAAAATTATATGAAATCGCATTTTATAACTTTTAGCCCAACTAATGCTCAATTCTAGAGCTGTCAAAATGGGCTTGGCCCGTGAGGCCAGCCAAACCCAGCCCGCTACTTGGGTAGGGCTGGGTTGGGGTTTTTTTTAGGAAAAGTTTCGTTCATATACCATATAGGAAACTATATTACCAAATATGTTCATAGTTTGCATATTACCCGCCATGCTAATAGTATTTCTACAAAATATAGATAATTCACTAAATAAGGAATCATTGTAGCTGTAGGCTTCCTTATTTAGGCGCGCTAATATTGGGAAATTAAATATTCTTCCAGATATTTTACAATGCAAATCACGCATTAATAATTATCGGATGTTTCGATTCAAAATTTAGCGGCTCTGTTTTTGCGATACACTGTGTTTCAACATTTTTTCTGATTTCACAAATCAAAAGTGACTAAATCTTCTACAATTCTTCTGCAACAAACGCAATTATGTTCAAAATCTCAATTATGCTACAACTGAATGGGAATTGGGATAGCTATGGGAGATTTAGAGAATTTCAGGTTGATGGCATTGTAGTCGATGAGGATGCGAGTTATAGTCTATTGATTTCTACAATAGCACAGCAATTAGTGATCGATACATCTGAAAAAATTATAGAAATCTAATACATTGTCAACGAGCATCGTCTTCCAATGGAAATTAGGAACGATATGGGTGTTCGTGTATACATGGAGACGAAAAAGGAAAACAAAAACTTAGGATCATATCCGCTATGTATAACTGTTCGCGATTTCAATATGGAATTGAGTATCACCAATGAGAACACAGTTGCAGGTTTGTGCTGTTACATTTTCTATCAAATTCTGGTTGTATATCAATGTCCTACACTTTATCTACATTGTCGCACAAGCTTAGAGTAAGATCTGATCATTTATTGCATCAAATTAATTTATACAGGACAATGTAGATAATTTGTAGATATTTTGTATTTAACCGTATATGAATTGTTTTTTTGTTTATAATGTAATTGTAGGTGAGGGCTTCAACAGATTACATCCATACAGTACTAGATGGTGTGAGGCGCTATATTGTTTGTCTTGAAAACAAGAGATGTAGTTGTAGGCAATTCCATCTTGATGAACTTCCTTGTCCACATGCTTTGGGTGCTTTAAGACACAGGGATGAGTCTTTTGAACAATATTGTTCTCCTTATTACACAAGGAAGAACCTATTGCGTACTTATGAAATACCAGTAAATCCCATGCCTGATGAAAGCAAATGGAATGTGCCACAACATATATCTGAAGAAGTAGTAAATCCACCTACAGGAGGGAAAAGGCAGCCAGGAAGACCTCAAAAACAAAGATACAAAACATATGATGAAATAAATTCAAAGAAGTACAAGGTTTCATGTGGCAACTGCGGAGGAGAAGGGCATAACAAAAGATCTTGCAAGAATGCACCCAAAAAGAAATAAAATTTTATGTAGTTAACAGAATATTTCACAAAAATTGTTGGTGAGTTCAGAATAACAGAATTTGATGTGTAATTGTTGAGGTTTTTTAAGATCATAATGTAGTTAGTTAGGATTTTTCTGTATTGAGATAATACTTTCATAGAGTGATTTATTTATGAATGGTTTCTATATATATAATCTACCACTTTTTTACTATCTCTAGCATCCTTTACATAGTTGTTAATATTTTTTTGCAATTTATCTACAATACAACTACAAAAAAATTACATTAACTGGTGTCACACCTCCTTTTTACTACACCCCCGGAAGAGGGTATAATAAGGAAGTTATTTCCAACTTGAAGTGACAATCGAAACGGGATTATTTAATTAAAAAGATTCAAAGTCGCCACTTGGGAGATTTATGGTGTCCCAAGTCACCGGTTAAATCCCGAATCGAGAAAAATATTGACTCTGTTTTACAGTCCGTGAACCAGGGAGAAGGTGTTAGGCATTCCCGAGTTCCGTGGTTCTAGCACGATCGCTTAGCTGTTATTATTGGCATAATTATCTGATTTTAAAACAATTTGGCCCTATGTGTATTTTTACTTTTAACCGCTTTTATTCATTTTAAAGAAGATTTAACGTCGTCTAAAATATGTCTTTGGATCGCGTCACATGAAATGCACCCGCAATCTGAAACACATTTTATTCAGCGTTATAAGGATTTGGATTTGGGTCACATGAAATGCACACCCGAGTTTAGGAAGGTAATATTATTAAAATAACGCGCCTAAAGCAACTACACGTTTTTAACTTTGCGAGGGCCATGGAAATTTGCTAAATGGCACGCCTCGAATTCTAAGAATTTTAAAAGAAATAATTAAGTGAGGGCCACGCATAATTTTATTTGGCGTGGCGCACCTCAATTTCATTTTAAAAGGGTATTCAAACTAAAGCTCGAAGGGCCATAGACTATTTGTGTTACTAATATGGCTCACCTCCATTGACTACAATAATTAAATATGGCTAAAAAATGCAACTATTCCTAAATTGATGCCCGACTTCAAGTCTTCAAATCAAGGGGCCGCCCAAATGAAATGGACCTTCCTTCAACATAAAATGGATTCGATACTCAGGCCCAAAAGGAGCCCAAATATTGGTGAGCACAGGCTGCAGATGTAGAACTTGGTATCGAACCCCAAGGGAGGAAAGCAGGTATGCAAACCAAAGAGACGTGACTATTGTGTTATTCATCACTTGACAAAAGCAAACTATTTAATACTACACCTTGCTATCAATTCCCAATTTTACTTTAGGCACTGTTATCATCACCCATAAAACAAACTTGCACAATCATCAATGTAACATGACAAACATTAGACTTATATCCATAATTAATTGACCTTGCACATACAAAGAGCTCATCATGGAACTCACAGGTTTTCGAATCTGATTTTTAAATCTACCATTACACCTACAGCCCTTCGAACATTTGACAACTTATGAACATCACTAAGCTAAAATGAGTAAAATCAGTGTATAGATCGACTTTTGAAATAACTTGGACCCTTTTACTACTCAGGAAACAATCAGTTATCCATTGCATGATCACAACACTATTTAAATACAACAAAACATGTTATGATAGTCTAAATGAATTATATAACATGAAGAGATCTAACACAGTCTACACTATTTATCAAGATGGAATGCAGAATGTAACTACTGATTCTGTTATATCAGTTATACATCAAGTTCCCATAGTAGTTCAAAATCAGATTCAGTGATAAAAAAAACTCAATGATCACCTAGCTATAATATACTCGATAGAAGATTGAATTCCACACTAAACATCAAACATCCTGAATCATTACACTAAAGCAAATTCAAATCCAAACCTCCACATGAGATACATCATTAAGGACATAAAAGAATACACTGGACAACTAAACTAAAGACCACATGAAGAAAATTAACAGAGAAACATGTAGCAATTATCATTTCTTCAAGCTTGATTACATGTTTTCTGATTCACACTTCACACGTCACTTAAAAGCCAAGGAAATACCTAGAAACAACAAAAATAAGAAGAAGGAGAAATCAGCAGCAGTAGAACAGTGTCATTAGCAGCATTGAACAGTAGCCTCTCAGAGTTCAAAAAATCAGTATAAAAACCCAAAACCAGACTATCTTCAACGGGATGCGTACTTGATCTTTCAGGAATTTCAGATAAACAGGAGGAACTAAGAAAACTAGAAACCAGGACTCCAAACCCAAATTCAACTCATACTCAGCTTTCAAAACCCCAAATTAAACCAGCTTGAATCAAAGAAAACTTTAATAACCAAACATCAATCCATTTGAATATCAGAATAGGAATTTTTGTTGTTGTTTTTTTTCAGAAGTAAAAATAAATCACTGAAGTTTTAATGGAATAGTAGAACTCTTTTTTTTGTATTTTCTGGAATTCTATTCCTGATTCTCTATCTTGAAAGGCAAGATAGAGATGCCTTTATAGGCAAGCAAATAGGGCAGACCTAAGAGTTCAGTTTTGCACTTCTAGTCCCTTTCTAATTCTCATTTGGCTCAAAAGTCCCTCAATTATTGACTTGTTGGTCAAGCCAGCCTACTTTGCAGCTTCTAGGAAGCTTCTTCAGGTTGTTATTCACAGATTTCCTAATTGAACTACTCAAACTAACCTTCAATGACCCTGTGATTACCTTTGCCGGACCAACCCGGGTCAAATTGACCCAAGACAAATCAAACCTGGGCCTTTAACCCATTGGATTAACCCCTCCCTTTGGGCTTTCAAAACAAGTATGGATTTCAAAATTCGAAACCAAACAAATCAAAGAAAATAGCCCCCTAATTACCCTGTTTTTACCATCCTGAACCCTAAATGGGGTTATGGGTCAATGACCCAAAGGTTGAATCCATTTAGATCCCTAACCCAAAACCTGAACTTGCAGGCATGATCCTCAAACCCAAATACAGTCAAAACCAAATTTCTGAATTAAAATGAAAACAAGAAGAAAATAGAAGCAATTCGAGCAAATTTTTTTTTGTTTTAGGAAATCCAACTAATGCAACTAACATTAATGAAATTGAAACTAAATTACTAACATACTGTTTATACTAATTAAAGAAAAAGAAAGACTCTTAAAACTAACATGCGTATACAGGAATGACTCTAAAACTGGGAAATTAAAAGAGTTCAAAAGAAGAGGGAGAAGCAGATGACAAAAATGAAAGAAAAAGTAAAAAAACTAACGAAAGAGAAAAGAAAAAGGAATACCTAAGGTGGCTCGAAACAGACTTGAACCAACTTGAAGATCTCCTTCGATTTCTTGACAAGAACAGCCTTTAATCGTGTGTTTTCGTGTGAAAACACACGAGTAAAGGCCATTACATCCTAGAATCTTCAAAAGACCCGTTGGATTCGGATTTGTGGAACTAGGGCTTTGTCCTCTGATTCAAAATTCGAACAATTGAGGGGATTCGAGGGAAGGGAGCAAAGATTGGTGATGGGGAGGTGGAGGAGATTCAGGGGTGTGATATTGGGGGTGATTCGTGGTGGTGCCGCCACCGGCGGCGAGTGGAGATAAGGGCGGCTGCTAGGGTTCGTCGTCTCTGAGGAATGTGTGAGAGAGACGAGATGGAGGGGGGGGGGGGCTAATTCAGACAGATATATAGTAAGGAATCCCGTGTTCTCAGTCGTTGGATCGAGAAACCTCGATGGCTGAGATTAGACCCAAGTTAAACGGGGTCGTTTTGATGAGAAGGAGGGCTGGACCGGGTCAGGGTGGTTTTGGGCCGGGTATTGGGGAAATTCACTTGGGCTGGGCGGAAACTTATAAGACCTGGCCCAAAAAATCCATTTACTTGAACTCTTTTTCCTTGCTTTTCATTTTTATTTATTCCAATTTTCCTTTTTTTTTTCAAAATTAAAAATAAAATCCTAAATTAAATCATAAAACCAAATTAGCCTATCAAAAATACTAATTAATTCTAAATAATAATTATCACAAATAATTAAAAACCAAATTTAAAGGAAAACTACTAGAATTCAAAGATTAAAATTAAAAGTGCAAAAACAACCATTTTTTTGTGATTTTTCCAGTTCTTATAAAATAACTAATTTACTACTTATCCAAAAATGTAAAACTAAATCCTCAATGCAAATGCAACATATGTTTTGTATTTTTCATTAATTAAAATGCACAGACAAAATGCAAACAATTAAAAGAAAATGCCACAAAAATCCACAAATTGCAAACACTGAAAGAAATTATTTTGTTTTGAATTTATGGGAGTAATTCGTATATGGCAAAAATCACGTGCTCACAACTGGAATTGACAGAATAACTACATTATAAATCAGTAGGAAAGGAGTTATTTACTAAAATATTGTAGATGAAGTACTGTTTACATTCAACAAATGAATATAAAAGCAACAAAACACATTGTTAAATATTTTCTACAAATTATCTACAAATTCAACTACAAAAAAACTACAATAGCTGGAGCTGACATAATAACTAGATTATAATTCATCTAGAAAGAAGTTATATGCTAAAAATAATGTAGGCCAGGTACTGTTTACATTCAACAAATTGAATGTAAAAGCAACAAAATATTTAGTTACTGATTTTTACACTTTATCTACAGAAAAATAATAAAATAACTACATATTTTTGCGTTGACAGAATAACTGTATAAAAATTCAGTTGGAAAGGATTTATATGCTAAAATAATGAAGATCAAGCACTGTAAACATTCAACAAGTGAATATAAAACCAACAGAATGTTTTCATTTGAACTACTATACTAGATAAGAAAAAAAAACAAAGGCTACTATAATTGTAGCGCAAGTCTGCTACAGTTAAAACACAACATATTGTTCAAAAACTTGTCTACCATCTTTCTTCTAAACTAGCATCAACTAAACAATTGTACTACATATTCCATACAAAATATTACAACTACTTCTTCTTCCTCTGGACTCGTGTTTTTTCATTCGAAGCTGGTGCACCTTTTCTCCTTGCCAATTTGCCAGTCACCTCACTTTCACTGATTGCCCCATGCTCCTGCTTCTTTCTAGCATAGTCCCAAAGTAGCGCTCCATAGCGTCTACGATGTTGGTCAATATCAGAAAAGTCTTCTGTCGGAATTGATAACTCTCCAAGACTAACATACTCTGCAAAGTCAGCAACAAATACACCACAATCGTTGCAAAGATAAAAAAAATGTCAATATTTACCAAACGATTAGAAAAAAAAGGGTTAAATGTATAGAAATAAAGAAGATTTTTGTTACAGTGATCCTTCTTTTTTCCGTGGTATCTCTCCGACGATTCACTGAATGTTAAGAGGGTCGGTAACAGCTTTCTCAATGTATGCCTTTGTATTCTTGAAGTTGATGTCTTTACACTTGCCATAAAACTGGTGCATGACAAATACAAAGGGATAATAACAGAAAACTTGTCGACACAAGATTCAACAATAGGGTGATTGTGTGAAGAGACCATGGAATCATACGCATAAAGTTGCCTGTCTGCAATGTCAAAAACAACCAACACCCAGTGGAATTTTTCTACAATGTTGACGGGCATGATGACATAATCAACTTCATCCCATGCAACATTTGCGAGTAGTCTATACCCCAATATATATTCTGCTACAACGTCTTGGGATTTGACAACAGAAAATTTCTTTTCTTGAGGAGAATTTTGAAACTTTTCATAAATTTGTTCAATCCTAGTCTTGAACAAACAATCTGTTGTAGTAAACCTGGTCTTGTTGTGGGGCCATACTTGCCGCATAAAGGTATGTCTTCTCCACTTTTACCTTGTTTGGAAAGTAACTGCTCTTTATCTTACTGACATAATTCGTAGTGTAACCAAAGTCTGTCACCTCGGTATGACATGTAAGACCAGTTATTAATGCAAACTCTCTCAATCCAAAATTTAACCTCTCACCTTTTAACTCAGCTGAAAAATAGGAAGCATCAGATGAATTCAATTCGTACTTCATAAGAAGATGAATAGCTTGATTTTGCATGCATAAATTGGAAAATGACAGTAAATAACCAAAGCATGTCTTCTCGAATAGCTTCAAACCATTTGGAGACAAAAGCTCTTTAATTTGGCTAAGAATACTAGGGTCACATAATGTCTGGAATCTAAGCACCCCATAATAAACATTATGGGATGCAAAAAAATATCCATTCTGCACAAAATATAAATGATCTCACATTAATACAATGCTTAAAAAACATAGATACATTTGCAATTTATCTAAAAAATAACTACAAAAACTATACAAAATATCAACAATTTTAAACAGATCAATAAGGCTACAATTAATTTTTAAAATGAAGACAAATAATCTCACATTAATTCAGTGCTTAAAAAATATAGATACATTTGGAATTTATATACAAAATAACTATGAAAAATCTACAAAATATCTACAATTTTAAACAGATCAATATAGCTACAATTAATCTTCAAAATGAAGAAAAATAATCTACAAAGCAGAAAAAACACACACACGAAATAACTAGTGAAGAAATTACTAAATTATTACCTTCACCAATGACTGTTTTCGAACATTTTTAGGAGATTACACAGTAGGGGCTTTTTTTGAGTTTTTCTTCTTTTTGGGAGTTTTTGAACTGGGAGAGACCTTCGCTTTCTTTCTAGGTTTACTGATAATCATCATCGAACACTATCTCTTTTCCTTTCCTTTTCGCTCGTTTGATTGGCCTCGAAGATTCTCCAGCATCGAAATCATGTTTTTGTTTAGTTTAGCTTCAGCGCTGATTTCACGCGGAGAAAGACTATGCTTCTTATCTACAATTGCATGTGAGATTTCCCATTTTTTTTGGGTGAATGTGGTGATAATACACCCAAATCGAAAGAAGGTATATCAGCTTCTCTAGCTTTTTTAGAGCTGTTCATTGAGAAAATTTGAAATTGAAGGTACATGTGTGTATGAACTTTGAAGAATTGACTTCAATTTTGACTGGTTGTAGAAGATAAAACTTGAAATTGGACGTTAATGGTGGGGGTTACATATGTTTTTCTGGTTTTAGCAGAGGAAATAATGGGAAAGAAACGTGGGTGAGGGTGTGAGTTTGGGAGAGAGGAACGTGGGGGGGGGGGGGGGGGTAAGGGGGGGATTTGGAGCAATATACGATACCATTAATTTAGGAGGGATGTACGGTTAAAACACATAATGGTATATAATTGGTAATTAAGTATACTAAATGTAATTATATCAAACCTTAAACATTGAGGGCAATATAGTTTACTATATGGCATAAGAATGTAAAAATTCTATTTTTTTAGCCCATCTAAATTGAGTCTTATAAGCCCGGCCCAAGTCAGCCCGTTGGCCCTTGAGGCTTGACCGAGGCTGGGCCTGGGCCGGCACGTGGGCCAAAAATTAATTAAATTTAAATTTAAATATTTTAAAAAAGTAAAAACTAAAAAAATATTAACTATAATCCTCATTTTCCAACCTTAGATGGCTCACTTACCCTTTCATATCAACTATAATTTATATTTTTGACATGCATATAGTATGACAAGATTAGTTTTTCTTTTGCTTAATTAACAACGAACTAGGAAAGTTTTAAGTGGCCAATAATAATTTTTTTCAAAAGAAAATATTACTTTATGTGGCCAATAATCAGTTTGGTTACTTTAGTATGTTATTAATTATTAAATTGCTCTTCAGTATAGAAAAAAGTCAAGTTCTAATACCCAAAAAAAATTGACAACACTAGCAAATTTCATGAATTTTAAAAATTTATGGACTATAATGATGAACTCAATAAATAATATTAAACCTAAATTAAAAAACCTTAACATATAAAGTTATTGAAGGAATTTCCGAACCTAAGGAAAGTGAAAGAAAAATACTAAAAAAATATTCATGTAACGTTAAAAAAAGAAGAGCTAGAGATATAGAGAATTTGTATTTCAATTACGAGATTTCTTGTCAAATATCAAAATTCTTGTACACTCTAAATAAACAGAAGTCGTTCATATGATTAAGAGATTATGTCACGAAAAAATATCTAGAGATTTGAAAAAATATTTTTTTTCTAAAAAAATTGAAGGGCCGGACCGCCCTAGTCCGCGACCCTCTTAGGGTTGGGCTGGGCTGGCCATTTTAAGGCCCATATAGATGGAGGGCCCACCCGCCCTAGCCCACCAATTTTAAAAGCCCACGAGGCTTGGGCTGGGCTAATCCGTTTTGACAGCTCTACTCAATTCGAGTTCCAAATTCTAAGAAGAATTAACCTAAATAGCTGCATACCCAACCATTTAAACTATATGACTGTCTACAATCAGTGTATAATTTATATATATCAGCTAGAAAAAGTCCGCTAATTATGTAAAAATATAGTTGATCGACTCCTACTGGATTAGCCCAAAATTTACAGGTTTAAGATCTCACCATGGCATCTCATAGGCCCAAAACAGTTGCTTGCAAAGCCCAGTATTTCAAATTCTGCGGATTTGAGAAAAAATTCTTGTGACGCAAGAGCCCTGCTTCAGTACCAAAACCCTTACATACAAATCGGATCATTATCATATTCATCTGTTCATCTGCAATCGATTAACCGTAAGGCTCAAGCAATTTCCGTGCTCTTGAGATTGAGATATCAATCAGAAGTACAGCTCCGAAATGGCGTTAACGAACTTTATACTGACGGTGGTGGGAGTAGGCGCCGTGGTTTTACTGGTGAGGAGCGACATCAAACAGTCTGCCTCCATCTTCAAGCGTAACGTCCGTCAAATTCGCCATTGGCTCGAGGAAGAGTCCGCTTCCGCCGCTAAGTATGTCTACTTTTAAGTATTTTAATGGTTCTTTTTTATCTGCTAAAAAGTCTAGTTAAAACTCCTTTTCCCCCTATTTGACTGCAATGGAAGTTAGACTTAGTTCATAAACTTGAGCTTTACTTTTTAGTCTGCATAATTGGTGGTAGTTTGAGGAAAATTTTTGGAGCTAATTTTGCAATTGGCGGTATAGCAAAATACAACATTATTCTAATGTTGTCAAAAGCTAGTCTAAGGCGCGCTTAGACCTTGAAGCTAGGTGCAAACAGCTTGAGGGCCTTAGTTTTACAACTTTATTAGGCGTTTGGACATAAGAATTGTAAAATTTCAAAAAAAGGGTGAAAATAGTATTTGAAATTTTGATTTGTGTTTGGACATAAAAATAATTTTGGGTTATTTTTTAAGTTTTCTGAGTGAAAATTTTAAAAAACAGGTTTTTGGAGTTTTTTAAATTTTCGAAAATTTTCAAAATGCATCTTCAAGTGAAAATTGGAAATTTTATGAACACACTGATTTCGAAAAAAAAGTGAAATTTTTTTGGAAAAAAGGAAAAAATTTCTTATGTCCAAACGGGCTCTTAGTGTCTTCATTCCTCTTTCTGATGGCTTTGGAATTGCTGTTTTTTTTTTTTTTTTTTTTTAATCATATGCAAGTAACTCTTTTTTATTTGCTATGCCTAGTCCCCTGCTATTTCTCATTGTGTCATTATTTCCAGCAAGATTGCATCTATTACACGTATCTCCATTTGCGCCCATGTCTAATTACCTGGTTGTTGCTACTGTTTGTTTATTGCTTCATTTTCACTTCCTTTGAGCTAAGAGTCTTTCGGAAACAGCCTTTCTACCTTCATTAGGTAGGGGTAAGGTCTGCATACACTTTACCCTCTCCAGATCCCACTTGTGAGATTTCACTCGGCTTGTTGTTGTTGTAAGTAACTCTTTTTTATGTGATACTAAAAGAGCATGCGCCTCTAACAATTTTTTTGCAAGTTTCAAATATTCACATTTACTAAGCTAGTCTCCCATAAAAAGTAAGACGAGTTGTTCCTATCTATTGAAGCTTGTGATGAGACCTCTTATAAAAAATAGTGGAAATGTTGTTTTCATAAGAAACCAGTACCTATTTGTAAGTGTTATAAATCTGAGCTCAAGCTCCAAGCTTGGATATGGCTGCAAGAGAAGAGAAGAAGTTCTGAGAGAGAAGCGTACAGAGAAAGCTGGGAAATTATCTCTGTATATTGTACTAGAAAATGAAGGAAAACGCGTACAAGTATCTCTATATACAAGTGCCTAACTAAGCTACTTAAATAGTAAACAACTTAACCACCTGACTAACCACTGCCAGTTGTCAACTAACTATAAGTAACAAATAACTGCCAACTAATTAGAGCTAACTAACTAGAGTTAACTGACTTCAATACTATTCATTCGTGGAACTTGAACAAATGTCTCATCACCATGAGCTCTATCTTGAAGCGGCAACGCTAAACAATAGTAAATTAGTAACTACTCACTTAACTATAGTAATATTTTCAGTTTCTTCGTCCATATAATCATATCTGTATCTATAGTTATGATTCTTAAGTTTTATATATATAATTTGTGCCTTTCTTCACCAAGCCCGTTCTTCGTTTGCTCTTAAATCCCAACAAACTTTAATACTTTTTTTCTTTTTGCCTTTAATAATACTGCCATATCTGTAGACTGGAGGAATCACTTCAAGTAATTTGAGTCGATTTCTTTGTGCAAAGTGCTTAAGGTTTAAAGTCATTCGTGAAGTATGCGCATAAGTTGATTTACTTTCCTATTTCCTAGTTTCAGTGGGAGCAAAATATATTGTTTTCTGTTTATTTCCATATAGAGATATATCATATGTTTTTCTTTTAAGGCCAAAGATTTGTTTTTGGGTAATTTTCTTAGATTTTCGAGATATCAGTTTAAATGTTTTTTTGTTTTCTCAGAATAGCATTTAACTTTGTTCAAGTTTGCAATTGTCTCATGTATATGATCATGTTTTGGCGGTTATGTAGAACAAGCACTAAACACACATGTTCACTTATTGATGTCATGTTTGTGTTTTAGCTTAAACTTGTATGACACCACTTGGACATGAGTCTGATGCCATTAATTTGTGTCCCAATTTGTTATGAGTTCTTACTTCTTTAAGTGTCCCATATTTCGAGGGCATAAGTAATTTTCTTAACAGTAGAATTGACTTTATGCATAGTTAGAAAATTAAACTGCATTCCGTATGAGGATTAAAACATAAACATACATCGGAAAAGCAGAAAAAAGTCGGATTGCCCCCTTGCCTGACAAGCACATTGTGAATCATCATTGTTTTGTTAGGTTTGTGGTATATCCTTAGACTTCTTTATGTATGTGTCCTTGATACCTTTGCTATAATAGTACAATATGTTATGACTCATGAAATTGATTATATCATTGCATGTTATATATAGTTCTATGATATATTTCATTAGCATGTTATATATCTAGGTTCTGTTCTTCCTATCTCCTTCTTTTATATCTTATATCTTGACATTGTATTAACTTGTTTCCCTTTGTAAATTGCATGTTTCCCTTTTGCTTGTTCAGTAAATTAGTTGCAGTCCTTGTGTGTGTGTGTGTCAGATGAACATGACACCATTGATGTTGCTGTAGGGAAATAGAGAAGGCAAACCCAAAGGAGATACCTAAGAAGGATATTCCCAAGGAGGAGAAGCATTAGATTTGACTCTTTCCCCGCTAATGTTTCAAATTTTTGGTCCATAGAGTATTTTCTATGTCGTTTTCTAGCCCCTCAACTAGTGGCACTCTATGCTTGTTAAGGTTAACACAATATAATGATTGGTGTATGTGTCCTGCTACACACTATTTTTCTTCTGATATATACTGAGATGTATAGATTATGCAACAACGTAAAGATTTGAACTGGTTGTTGGACGCGATGAACAACTGATTTTGATACTTAATGTCATGATGAGCTATTTCACATTCCGTGTTACTTCGCAGAATGCAGTTTTCATTTTACTTTTGAGTTTTGTCCTGAGGTATAACACAAGCCCAAGAACTCTGTTTCACAATTAGCATGTATTTTCTTGTGTCATGCTTGGTTAGTGTTATGAAGGGACAAAATAATAATTTAAAGCTTCAAAGAGCCGGACATTATATTAACTTGTATTTGAGTAATCTGATGAATCATACACATGTGATCTGAATTTTTTGGCTAGAGATAATGATTAAAATTATTTTTATAAGAATTATCATACTCATAAATAACTTCTAAGTTAATGTCGTGTAAAAGGCAAGAACACCGTCCTAAACGAGGGTGGCATGATATATGCTGACGTCAAAATAAAATTGATTTCTGAAGCGAACGGAGAAGTTTGTAATCGACACAGGAATGTAGAAAGGACTATGATTATCTGCATAATTACAATAATTTTTGTTTTCTTTATTATTCATTTAAAAAAATTATTATTGAACTTTACAATTTAAGACACAAAACCAGTAACACATTCATATATAGAGCATGTAACTTATATGTTTTTACTCGTAAGAAGAAACTCGACATCCATAATTGTTATAAACCCATAAATAAAAGGGCATATTCAGTCCAACCGTACCCTAATTAAATGAAAATATTAATATAATGGAACTAAGAGAGATCAAAGGCACTGATGAGTGATGAAATATCATTGGTTTTTGAAGAAAATTCTCTACGACCAGCCTCCTCCATTCTAAGTATGCTGCTATTGTTAGAGAAAAATAATAAACCATTGCAATTGGCAACTCGCAACCATGAGAGGAAGGGGGGATTTGCATCTATACTTACTTTTTGGGTCACGTTTTAACTTGTGCCCGCTTTGCAAAAAAAATAGCAAGCGTACCCACTTTTTCGCGTAACTTCAGTATACGGGGCTGAAGTAGCAAAGGCAATCGCGCAAAACTTCAGCATTCTAGTAGACGGGCCTGAAGTAGCAAAGGCAATACGCCGAAGTTTTTTTGTCCTGGATAAGATGCTGAAGTTATTTAGTTCATTTGTAAAAACTTCAGCACTAAAATAGCTGAAGTTTTTTTGTCCTGGATTCATTAGTTTTGTCATAAAACTTTTTCAAAAAATTCAGCAGATGATGCTGAAGTTATTTAGTTCATTTGTAAAAACTTCAGCACTAAAATAGCTGAAGTTTTTTTTGTCCTGGATTCATTAGTTTTGTCATAAAACTTTTTCAAAAACTTCAGCAGAAGATGCTGAAGTTATTTAGTTCATTTGTAAAAACTTCAAAAACTTCAGCACTTTCAAAATAAAAAAGATTATTTTCACAGCAACCATTATATTATTCATGAAATAATGTGTAGTAACGAGTAAGGAAAATTATATCTCCAGAACTCATGTTTTAATCAATAGTAAATACTATACATTTGTTTGAGCTACCTCGACAGATTTTATATGTCCCCTTTATTTTATTTGGAAGCATAAAATTGAAATAATTAATTAATGGGGAGGAATAATATGCATCTGATGGAGGATTTGTTCAAAATTGTCAGTAGGCTTGTCAATAGGATGAGTGTGCATGCCTTCATAAGTGGTGACCACAACTCCTCCATCTTTGGAAAGGCGTTGTACTTGCTTCTTCACATTGCATCCTTGATGTGTACATTTGTAGTAGCTTCTGCAAATTAACAAGAATCACCATACTATATTATGTTATATCATCTGGAAACTAACTTAAATAGGTTCTGAATTGTTCTTTAGTAAAATTACCAATATGGCTATGCAAAGATTCAATCTGAGCTGCCAACGGTGTTGTCTATCAGAGTTTAAATTCCAAAAAAATAGGAGATTTCTTTCAATTTGTTTAAGCCTTGGTGGATACTGCTGTTATTCAAAAGAGAAAAAGAAAATCTTCTTTATTGATCAGGTGTTAATTACACACAATATGAGTGAGTGCAAACTACATTATTACTCCTCAAGTTCCTTGTGCTATTTATTAAGACCCGCAAGATCTTAATATTTGTATATACCGAATTTTCCCTTCTAATTATTATTAAGTATTAACCATCAAAATCTGACTAGCTCACAAAAAAAATGATAAAGAAATTACTAGAAAGACTATTGTTCCTTTGTTTAGTTCTGTTGTTCGAAATTAAAACATGCATACGTGCTACGACTGCTATCTCATATAATATTTCTAACTTAATTAAAAAGGCGAGTATAAGTAGCATCTTATATAAGATCGAAGAATGTTCATGTGTTTTTGAGTACTCGCGTGGAATATATACTGCGAAAATAACAACAACAACAATACCAACAAATCCAGTGTAATCCCACAAGTGAAGTCTGGGTAGGATAGTGTGTGATCTTCTCCTACCTTGTGAAGGTAAAGAGGCTATTTCCAATAGACCCTTGACCGGCTCAAGGAAAGCATAGTCACAGCAGTGTGTTGAAAAGATATATGGTATGGAGAAGCCATGAAAAAAAAAAAAAAAGCAGCAACAACAACAAAATAATAAGAAAATCGAAGATATAATGCGATAATAAGGGAACTGAATCACAGTTAAAAAATTTCATTCATAACAGTAAAACTAAAGATAAGATAAATTAAGTATATGATGAGACATAACAACAACTCCATTTTAAGAAGGATAAGGTAGTGCTGGGACAAACGGAAAATATACCTTGGGTAGTTGTTGTTCTTGACAGCTTTTTGTCCATATTTTCTCCAGCGATAACCATCATCAAGAATATCAACCTGGCTTCTTGTTTGGAAAGCAAATCTTGGCTTCCTAATTTTCTTATCCCCTTTCTTCTTAAGTGATGATATAATATTGGTAGTATGAGTTTCTGATGAAACCACTCCCACAGCCACAGGGCTGTTTTTGATGTTGGACACGTTTTGCTGATCTCTTGCTGTTGAATTAGAAATCTCGGTCTTTAATCCCGAGATCCATCCATTCATAGAGTTGTAACAACCTGTTGAACCAAGAAAGGACATGGACTGATTCTCCATTTATTAGAATGATAAAGGAGCACCTTAATTTAAACTAGTTGATTTAACTATATAAAAGAGAGAAAAGAGCGTGGCTTAATTCTCTGATAATTATTGGCAACTAAGAGGCTAACAATTGTGATACATATATGATCAAAATGGTTAAAGTTGTAAAAATAAAATGGTATATATAGTGATTTTGAACGACTGGTAATGTCTAGATTAATAACGTGGAAAATTAAAGTTACCGGCGGCTTAGTCAAGTCATCATTAACTTTGAGAATTGAGAAATTAACAGGAAAACCAAAATTTGAGTGCGTAGAAAGTTAGCACTTATAGCCAGTAGAATACGTGAAAGTTGTCTCCATGGTATGGAATATAGACTAAGGGAATATATGGACAAAACTTGAAAATAAATCAACTCCACGACCTGTACAATTTATAATGAATTTGCAAATATTCAAAATTTTATTTAGATAAAGACGGGTGATGATAGGCTATAATTACTTATTTTAGTTGATTATTACACTTAAATTTACTGCACTTTGGTTGAGTTTGCGCTTTAATCGCTAGTGTTTTGCACTAACTGTATGTTTTATGCCTTGTAGGAGTGATTCCGAGCTATGTAGATGTTATGGAATGAATTCAAGTGATTTGGAGCTTTGAAGTCTGAGTAAAAGCACAAGGATACGAGCCGGGATCGCGTTTGGGGTCAACGGATGCTAGTTAGAGCGAACGAAGAATCGAGCAGGCATATTGCGCACTGTCTAGTAAAATGAATATAACTTTTTGCTCAGAACTCCATTTGGTCTCCACAATATATGGTTGGAAAGCTAACTCAAAGATCTACAACTTTCATGTTTTACGTTTTTTCAAATTCCAAACGGAACAGGGTGAAAAGTGCGCGCCCAGATGCACGATCGCGCTAGTTTTAGCGCGCCCAGGACAGAAAGTTGTCCAACTAGCGCGGCCATTAGCGTGCCCAGATGCGCGACCGCGCTAGTCAAACCCGGGAAAAATATCCTTTTTCACATTGGAGAAGGTATAATTGTTTGGGCCCAACCCTACTTGGTATATATACATGGAAGAACGGTATTTTGAGAGGAGAGGACGCCACTTTGGTGATATCTGACATACTTTGAAGGAGAATTCACGTGGGGGAACACACACCACGCTTGGAGGAGGCTTCTAACTAGTTTTTCTTCTCTTGTCTTCCTTTAATTTCATAGTTTCTTTGTTCTAGAGTTTTGGGTGCTACATGAACGTTGTAGTTTGAAGTTTGAATTGTTCTTATAATTTATTCATATTGGTTTATTTATTCAATCTTGCGCTTAATTATTTGATTGCTTGATCACCAATTGAATACTATCTACGAATCTAGGATTGAACTCGGGAGAGGGAATTCTAGATTGCATATAAGATTGAGTAGAGCAAGATCTTAACTCTTAGGGGGAGCGGATTTGCGGTTAGGATAGGAATATACCTAATCGCCTTGCTTGGTTATTATACGGGAATTATAAATGCGTTCTTGTTANTGTTTCTGAAATCTATATGTTCTGTGGTGTCCCTATTAAGGGAGGTGATGACTGGATAGCTACGTGATGAGTATGTTATGACTGCAAGGTGTATTCATATGATTTGGAAACGACGAGAAGGGTCTGCTGGAGGATGGAAGAACTATTAGGTACTTGATGTTCATCTTGATTTGAGGTATAGCCCCGAGTTATGGATGTGTAAAGAATCTTTTCATGTTTCTTAGTTGGGAGTGAAGTAAATTTTATGTTGCGGTGCGAGTTTAGACTCAGGAAGATTAAGTGACTGCGTAATGTTTATGACGGTGGAAGGTATACAGAAATGTTAGTTGGAGGCAAACCAGGTGGGTTAACTCCTGCGGAGTGTTCTGAGGTTGTGTGATCCTTATGTTGTCTGTTAGAAGATCTCATTTACAAGTGAAATATATGTGTTGAAATTTAAATTTGGGTCGCTTAAGAGAGTGGGCTTGACTGTTGCGAGGATGAATGCGAGATTTGCAGAAGATTTAAAGTACCAGATGGTCTGTGTTTCACGAGCTTATGAAGGATTGAGTCTAATCTCACTATGGTATTATAGCAACAATAGAGTATATGCGTTATAAGTTATTGTGTGTGTTTTGGTCTATGGCTTCGAGCCGAGTGGGGGAGTCTGCGGTTGATTAGATGATTGCACGGTTAGGTGCTATGTTGGTTCCAGTATGAAGCGTGCTGGTGAGTCAGTTATGGCTTACGGAGATTGAGACCGAGGATGGCTCGAGTAAAGGAAAATTTTGACAAGGGTTATATTATGCTTCATAGGTGTATGAGAATCACGGAATGTCTTGAGTGGTTATTGGTAAGGGTGTGCAGCGCATAGAATAGGAAGTTGCTTGGTTGCAATAAGGTGGGGTTACATTCTGCGGTGTCGGAGTGCTAATGAGGCACATGTTGCTCGTTTCATTTGGTCAGTCTAATTGAGGTTCGAGTGGAGTGGATGACTCTCGAGAATGGTTCTAATGGGTTCAAGATCTTTCATGTAATAATTGGAAATTTTTGAGTTATATATTCAGCTAGAAACTGAAGTTTGCATTGGAGGGTGTCAGGACTTGTTGCATTTCTATATCAATTACGGGATCCTATATATTAGTATCAGGGAGGTGAAGGTAACGGATTTGGATTCACAGGAAGTTTCGGCAGGGCAGGAATTTTGAATATAGTGCTTTTGGGAATTAAGAGAGTATTCAGCGGCTTATGACTTAGACGGTGTGGTTTTGTGCTTGGGTCTCGTGTGGTGAATCTGGTGGAGGAATTGTGGTGGTATAGCAAGAAGGAGTATCAAGATTAAGGTAAATCAGAAGGAAAACTCGGATGGATAGGATAGCTTGGCAGTAGGCCGAATCGGCATGGTAAGGATATGATTAGTTCTTTGGATGCTTACGACGTAATGAGTTCTTATAGGTGTCTCGCGGCAATGCTCTTGAGTTTTAGTGGCCTGCGTAGCTTGGTTGAGTTAGAAGGATTCAGTCCTGTCAAGTTAAGTTTTGTGCAAAAGGGAGTCGGAGAGTTCTTGATGATTTCTACCGCGGTTTGGAGGTGTATATTTTCTACTGGCATGAGGATGTGGGACGTATAGTGATTTTCTTCCAGATGGGCTCAATGAAAAGTTCTTGGTTGGTTGAGTACATAGTTGCTTGTGGCTCGGAAGGGATATGAAGTTATCATGTTATCCAAGGATGGTATGGTATATGCGGTATGTTGTGGAGGATTGAGATTTGCGTGTGTAAGGTTACGGTTCAGTTCTAAAAGGAAGGCCATAAAATTCTTAGGCGGCACGGGCAGTTTCAGATGATTAAGGAAATGGCATTACTAATTGGTGTGACTTGACGGGGGTATACGTTTCAGAAAAAGGGCAATGTGATTGAGATTGATGATACTTCATTAGCATTGCGACATTCTCTTGTTGGATCGACTGCCGATATTCGAGTTTGCTTGGTGGCACAGAAGAATTTTAAGAGTACCTCCCGTAGAAGGTATTAGAGGTGTGTTGTATATTCGGACGACGAAATTGGGATTGTATATAGAGATTCGTGTGCTATATGGAGTTGGGGACTGAGAGTTCTCATATCCAGGCTATGTTGTGGTTGTGGACCGCGTATATCGGTCTTGTGAGGTAACTATTGGAGGTTTGGAGACCCGAGTCGATCCTTTGTTGCTTGGTATGTTAGATTATGGATGTGATATTGGGTATGGACTGGTTGTCTCAGTGTTGTGTCACTCTGGGCTATTGCGCTAAGGCGGCGATGTTGGCTATGCCAGAATGCCACAGATTGAGTGGCAAGGTTCGACGGATTATGTTCTTAGTAGGGTGGTTTTGTATTTCGAAGACCCAGCAGATGGCTGGGAAGGATTGTCTTCCTTATTTGGGCCTTCGTGATGGATATAAGTACAGAGACTCCTACCATTGATTCAGTGCCGGTGGTGAGAGACTTTTCGGATGTGTTTCTTGTGGCCGGGCATGTTGCCGGACGGGGTTATTGATTTTGGTATTGATTTGGTGCCGGGCACCGTAGCATGTGGCACCAGCGGGGTTGAAGGAGTTGAAGGAACAACCTCAGGAACTCCTTAATAAGGGGTTCATTAGTAGACCTGTATGGATATGTGTTCTGCATCGAGACGGTTTTGTTGACTTGAGAGTTGCTATTGGTGAGGGATGTGTTGATTCGATTGTTATTGAGCTTATTAGTGATCTGGGGAGATCTATGAGTTATCTTTCCGTAATGCGAGGCGTTAGGATTTGTCGGTTATAGGCACATGTGGCGCGGTTTTATTGGGGCCTCTCAGTGGAATTCGAGTGGGAAGAGTATTGGGTATTGCTCTGGCGTATCGATTGTGTCCTTTCGGGTTTGTGTAGTGTTATGTCAATTGCTTCGCCGTGGTTATGATGATTTGCTTTGGTTCTAGACATCAATTGCGCGTGGTTGTCGATCTTGAGCATAGTGACTTGAGGTGTTTCATGCGGACCGGTGTTTGGATAGGGTCGCGCATTTCAGCGAAGTTATGTGGAGGTATGATCCTTCGGGCTAGATTCGTGTATTCTGTTTCTACGAGGTGTGACGGGTTCTCAGCATTTGGTGTGGTGGTACTGGTGAGCTTGCGGTACAGCTCTCTCATTTGAGTCATTTTCATGATTTGAGCACGTTCAGATTGTTGCTTATTGGTGCGCGGATTGTGCGATTTGTGGCTTTAGATTGTATTGACGTGTCATGTCACCAGAGTAGTTGTATTGGAATTAGATGAGATTGTTGGGATCTAGAATGAATACAAACGGATTCGATTTCAGCGTGCTGGAGGGATAATATCGATGTTCGGCTCAGAAATTTGCTATGGTCCTTGCTAAAGGAGAAGTGGCTTCACGAATGTTTGATCTGAAGAGTGGTTATGACTTCTTATGTGTTTCATTTATCAATGGCAGTATACAGAAGTGTTGGAATGAGGCTTTATTTGACAAAAGGCTTATTATCGAAATTCGGACGTTTGGAGTAACTGTTGTGATTAGAGGTTATCGCTACAAGTGTTTGAGTTATGCGGTATGTCATGTAATTGCACCTGAGGTTGCAGGTATGGGTTATTACAGCTTGTTCGGGCTTATTCAGAGTATAAATGTGAG